ACGGGGATGAAACAGCTGAACTGCTGGCTCTGGTGTGTGAGCTCTTATTAAAACTGCCATGCTTTTGGAGATCTGGAAGTTGTCTAGTAGAATGCTACTTTAAAAAAAAAAAAAAAAGTGTTTCAGGGAACTGCACAGTAAACCTGGTGCCTGTACTGAGAAAAGAGTAGAAGTTAATAATGAGTCGAATTTGAAGATACACTGGTGAATATCACATACTGAGAAAAAGAATGTTTGTAAAAAGAAGTCATATTCCACAAACCTGGTGCAGAGTCAAAAACAGGTGGATAGGTGGGAGAACCAGCTGGTGTTGCCTTAATGAGTATCTAAAAACCATGTGAGAATGTGTATCACCTTTCTTAAAGAAGCTAAGAGTGTGTCTATGTTGTCATATGAGATAGTTCAGAGAAGTGATCCTGGACAAGGACAGGATGATAATCATTGCTGCAGACACATGAGTGTCCCTGGGGATGGTCTCTTGAGTGTCCAAAATGTTTTGATCTGAAGCAAATCCCAGGAGCAGCTTGGGGGAAAGTTCACTCCAGCAGCTCTATTTTTATATATTGCATTAGAGCCCAGCACAGCCCTCCAGTGCTGTCCCAATGTGCCTTGTGTCCTCACAATCCTTGTGTAACCTCACACCCCTCCTGTAATGTCCCGTGTACCCTTGCTGTCCTCTGCAGAGCCTGCTAGCAGGTTATGAAACAGCTCTCATTATTTTAAGTCACTACTGTACCGAGTAATGATTCCCAGGGTGTCAGAAGGATCTTGCCTATTGCTAAGGACTCCACTGCTTTTTGTAAAATATCTTCTGCACTGGGGACGTCAACACTGCGCTTTGCTTGAGCTGTTTCCTGTTCAAAGTAGGCAGTAAAGACACGGCACAGAAGTGACCTTCTGACACATCAAGGTTGCTTTTCTTCATTGCACTTCTATTGCCCATACCTGCCTCATCTTTCTCCTGTAACCTTGACAGCAGTCAGCTGCAGAGCTGTGCAGGTCACTGGGCTGACCCCAAGGCTCTGCTCTTGTGGAGGCTGCTCAGCACGACCAGGCTGGGCATCTTTGTGGATCCAAGCTGAATCCAGCTCCCTCAAGCAATTTTCTATTATTCTATCATGGTTTTCTATGATTCTATTATGGTTTAGTGGGTTAGTTGGTGTGGGTTGACAGTTGGACTTCATGATCCTTGAGGTCTTTTCCAACCTTAATGATTCTGTGATTCTATAAGCACTGCTACACTCCTTGCTATGAAAATATCTGGGAGGACAAATATAGGAAACAGTGGCATTTGTGAAATGTACTGTAGTTCTCTAGTTTTTAAAAACAGGCGAGCACAGCTCTGTATTGTTCTTTTATTCCACCTTAACAGAGAAGACCCTGCACCAACTCTTTTTAGCTCCCTTCCCCTTCTTCCCAGCTGAAGCCATTTGAAGGAACTCCTGGATACTCTTGTGGCAGCAATTCAGCAAACCCAGGATTTTAGAGGAAAACTTAACATTGTGGATCCATGCTTCCAATGCTTTGTAATAGGCACAGTAGGATATTGTAATAGTCTCTTCAGGGGCTGTTTAGACAATATCCCCTCATCAGACTGCCTCTGATGCACAGAAGGCAGAAGCAGGCAGACGGGTGTAGGGGCTTGATAGCACTGCTCTGTGAACACAGAGTGCAAGCAGGCATGGAAAAAGGGATGAAGACAGGGCAGGTAACATGCAGCTATGGTGTGATCGCGTGGATCTGGGGCAGGCAGGGATGGGGTAAGTCACGGATGCATTTGGAGGGGAAACAGAAGGAGTGAAACTTGGTGTTTTTACAGGTGTTAGCATAATGTTGGAGGCCACATCAACATGTTGTTGTGTTATTTGTGAATGTTGTGATGACAGATAGTCTAGGTGACAGCTTTCACATTTTTTTTCTGGTGCTGGTGGTGCCACTTGAATGGCCCAATACTGTACAGAACCTGAAGAGACCAGCTCTGTTGGAACCGTTCTGGTTGGCATAGCTCACCAATGCCTGCGCAGCATCTGCAGGATGTGGCAGGCTAACAAAGAAACGGAGAAGCTATTGCCCAGCCTCTTCAACCTTGGTTTCTGTAATGAACTGATACAGATCCCAGAGCTTTTGCAGCCCACGATTTCTAATCCAGGGTTTCATCCTGTGCATACCCTGCAAAGTGGATAGGAAAGAGCTTGTGTAAAAGCAAAATCCGTTCATCAAACTGGAATGCATGCAAAGCTATTTTCAAAGGAGCTGGCTACTACCTATAAAGTTTGTGTCTGTGGACAGTAATGGTTTGGACTACAATCTATTTAGAAGTGACACACTCTCTGGAAAAAAAAGATGATCTGCTTGAGGCAGAGGCAGGAAAAAAAAATAATCATGAAGGGTGGCAAGCAGAGCCCCTAAAAACCCAAACAATTCTTTGACAGGTAAGGGGGTTTCTGAGCAAAGAGGTTTTCTACTGCTTTTGTTTCTCTGGCATATATGAAAGCAGGGCTATCTATGTGGCATAGACTACATGCTGATTTGTCATCTTTTTTCTTCCTCTGAAATGAACTTGGTAACAATACTTTTCAGAGGTGGCAATCAATCCCACAGACTCCGTTTCTCAGGTGCCTGATATGTGGCTCTGGGAATGGGTTGGAGATATGGTGACACTCAGCTAGGACTGCGGTGAGGAGAAGCTGTCCTGTAGCGCTGCAACATACTTATCAAAGCCTTGAAGTTGAACACCAAAAATAGTGACCTTTATTACATAGGAATGATGAAACAGTAATATACATCTTCATGTTACTGGATTGCTGCTGAAAAAATAGCTTTGGAAAGTTTATATATGTGTGTGTGTATATATATATATATTTATATACGTGTATATGCATGTGTATGTACAGGTTGCCCAGAGAAGCTGTGGATGCCCCATCCCTGGAGGGGTTCAAGGCCAGGCTGGATGAGGCTTTGGGCAACCTGGGCTAGTGGGAGCTGTCCCTGCCCTTGGCAGGGGGGTGGAACTCGATGACCTTTAACATCCCTTCCAACCCCATTCTGTGATTTTATGATTCTGTGACATTTACCCGCATAGATAAGTATGTATGCATGCATGAATTGCATACAGTAAATACATTAATATGCAATGTTTCACACATGTGTCCTATGTCCTTGGAAAGCCTATGAGGAATTTAGTATTTCTTTGTTCAAGCTTGGTTTGAATAATACTCATTGAACAGAAAACAAAGGTGAAAAATTGCTGAATAGCTCTCAGTCATTGGATGCTGTCCTTCATGTGTATTAAATTAAGAATCAGACCAGTAGAAAACAACTAAAGGTTCTATAACCTAATACATAGTCAGAAGTAACTGTGGTAGACTGAACACTAGTAATAATCCTGTTTTTTTCCTAAAATCCTGATTTTTCCTACGGTTAGGAAACTTAATAACCTTATTTAAGAGGAAAGGGGAGGGTTGTGAATGACTGGCAAACCGTTTAGAGTGATGATCGAGACCTGCAGTATTGTTCACTGAGGAGTGCAGTAGCTGTAAGATTGGTCTGAGAGTGGTGTCTCGATGCCAAATGGCAGATGCATTGGGGACTAGATAACTCCTCTCAGAAGAAGCCAAATGAACAAACTACAAATGTAAGTCTACTGTGAGGAAACTTGAGTACATTGTGTTGTTTATCACTGCCTTCTGCTCTGGGCTTCTTCAAAACACAGCCGATAGCTCCACGGCCTCATTGTCCAGTTAACATTGGGGTATGAAAGGAAGAAGATGGTATGAGACCTGAGAAGATGGGAGAGATGAGGAAGAAAGTTTTAGGGTATGTCCCAAATCAAAATGAATATTATTGAATTTTCTTGGTGCTTGGGAACTCTGACAAGTCATCAGGTTCATCATACCAATCAAAACAAGGAGCTCGACAGGCCCATGTAACACTAGTGAATTCCAGTCATTCAGTAGCGCTGATGGGTGTATCAAATGAAGTCATCCTCTTCCCAGATGAGTATATTCTCTAATATCCTACAGGGAACATTTTGACATTTTTTGTTGTAGTTAATTATTTTTTATTCCTGAAAGCATAGCAGTACATCTTCAACAGGAATGGTTGATTTGGCTTCTCTAATTATATTATTTCCAGATAGAATATGACACAATCCTGAGAAGGTCTCAGTGGTTCAAGTCCCTTCAGATCATGGAAGGGCAAGTGCTCTGAGTATTCGATTATGACAGAGAAAGTGACACCTATTTCTCCTTATTTTCAAAGAGGTGACCGTGGATTCTCTGATGTATGCTGATATCTACAAAGAATGAAAACCTGCCTTTTGAATGAGGCCAACCCAGGCAAAGTTATCTGGATTATCCTGGAGACTACCTAAGAGCTAAGTGGCTGCCTGACCAGCTTAGAAGATTCGGGGGACTTTTGGGAACAGAATATAGACAACGAATGACTATATAAGGTAGCTGCTTGTGCTGCCCTTGGGATGCTGGTTTTCACATCACTTTCATGAACAAAAGCTAAAAGTAGATCTCATTTTAGGTTTAAATGTCCTCTAAACTATGTTTCAAAGTGGCTTGAAGGACTGAAGAGGTTTAACATGAAAAAAGATATTCTTTAAATAAGACGTGAGGTTTAAAACAAGAATCAATGATTAGACTAGATTACTGGAAGATGCAATAAATTCTTATTCTTTGTAAAGAACCTTTGAGTTAAAATCTATTGTATTCCTAAAGCAGAAGTTATAAGAGATAATTACATTCTGTTGAAAAGAAATAGTGATTTTTCTCCCTTAAGGAAGTATTAGATGAAATTCCATTATGATAATGAAGCAGAATGTCTGATTAGGCCACTTTAACAGTGGCTGAAACACTTTGAAAATACCTGAAGCAAGATTTTTAATTGAATTAATTTAAATAAGAAAAAATGTAAAGATTAGAAGAACTCAGGATAATGGTTAAAATACAATGTGAACTTCTCATTATTTTCATGGGAAAATCTCTACAATTTTTATTATCTAGGCATTAATTATCAAGCAATTGATGAAGGACTAAGCAGTGATCACAAAATTAAAGTGAGAGAATTTCACATTTTGTGCAATTCTCTTTCACTTCACACCACTGGAGGCATTTACTCTTCACTTTCTGCCTTCTTGCCGATTTCACGGCTCTTTGCACGGAGCTTGTTGACCTGTGACTCCGCAATGTCGGCCCGCTCCTCGGCTTCCTCCAGCTCATGCTGGATCTTGCGGAACTTGGAGAGGTTGACATTGGACAGCTCCTCCTGGGGATAGGAAGAGAGATAAAATAGGTTTTAAAATGCTTAATAATGCTCCCACTGTAACACTGCACTGGACATGCTGTTGTATTTTGCCTATAACTAATGGAAAAAAAAAGACTGTGAATTAGTATGTAATTCTCTAATACTTTTAGGGGAATCCAGAGAAATAGCTTAAATGCTAAAAGTTTAGATGGTTAATAAGATACACCACAAATCCCTCTCTCGATATGAACTGCTAATGCATTTTGGAATTTTTTAATAATTACAGTTATTTCCATTAAATCATCTTGCATTTATTTATTGCTATAAAATTATGTATTACAATTTTTGAATGTATTTTTTTTTTCTACAGAAAGAAATTTGAAATAAAGAAAGTGTAAAGAAGCAGTGACCTGCTCCCACAATATGGACCTGAGCCTTCCCTGCTCTTTGCAGTGATGCAATAAGGCTCACAGAAAATGTATTCTACACCCCTCTAGACTCCTGAGCTGTTCAGCCAGAACAGCCTTGCAGCTGTTCATTCCTGAGTGCACAGTGAGAAAAAGACAAAAAAGCTAAGGGTTCAAACAGAGCTAAGGAGGGGAGAACACCAACACAGGATTCCAGCTCCACCTGGATGGAGACTGGCTCTCTACAGCACTACTTACAGCTTCCTCAGCTTGTCTCTTGTAGGATTTCACTTTCATTTGAAGCTTGTCCACAAGATCTTGAAGCCTGAGAACATTCTTCCTGTCTTCTTCAGACTAAAAAGAAAGACAAAGAGAAGCACCTCTTTGCCCCTCCTCTTTAAATGCCCTCTACATGAAACAGAGATTAACATTCCTTAAAGACCACTGCTGCCCAGTAAGACAGAGGTGATGAGATGGATCTTGCTAACATGACCAGAAAGACAATTTCTTCTGTTTTCCGTCTTCTGCTTTTTAACCTTGTGACTCAAGAAAGAAAGAAATCCCCAAGGGCTACATTTTGGCTTCCTGCAAGAAGGACAGGTGACCTCAAGGAGGCCTCCTGCCTTACCTGGTAGGTCAGCTCCTTCACCCTCCTCTCGTACTTGCGCACACCCTTCACGGCTTCAGCGCTGCGCTTCTGCTCAGCATCAACCTCCCCTTCCAGCTCCCGCACCTGACATGAGAAACCCATCTTTGGAGC